GGTTTACTGTGCAGCAAGCATGTGCACGTGTAGATGCACACGCTTACTGTGGAATAAACCATGCTACTGCACAGTAAAGCAACTCATGTAGAGTGTCCTTAAAGGTCTGCTGTGAATTCAGTTGAAGGGAAACCCCATCACTGGTGTGGAAACAGGGTGGTGGCATATTCATGGAGTTATTTTGCCATTGGAGGATGCCTTGCCATATGACCAGTGGCCAAGTTAAAGAGCCAGAGCCTTGGAGAGCGGAAAGATAGAGGAGCACTTAAGTCTATATAAAGTATTTAGGACAGAGACCGCATCAACTCAGAGGGAGCTAATTTTGTATAATCAAGCTTTTAACCTTAGCTTTACCCCTTATTCACCTAGCTCCAGTGCCAGACACCTAGAGGAACATTGGCTTTCCTGGGTTGCGAAACAAGACTGTTATACTTGTCCCCCCCTCTTCTCATCAAAGCTATAGATATCTAGCCCTCTTGCTATCCGCTTGAATGTTACAAGGGAACGGTTTTGGCCTAAGTAAGGACATGGCCTATGATTTGGGTCTGCAGTGTTGGTTGCGTAGGACCCAAAATGCATATGACTGCTCTTAGGAGACAGGGTGGACAAAAAGATGGGTCCACTCGACCAATGTTCTGACTTCCTGTGTGATTTGCACGCAATGTATCACCTTGACATATGAACAAATGGGATTCTCCTGAGGGTTAAAAGGATCTTGCCAATGCAGAGCTTAAGCCCAGTTCTGTGGCTGTCTCATTCGACATACATTGGATGAACTTTCGTTCTTTTTGGAATCTGAGCTAAAAGGAAGGGTTTGAATAATAATGAGAACATAGGTAGGTAACCAAGAATCTTTATTGACATCTTTTTTTTTTTTAAATTCAGTGTTAAAAATATTGCAGATCCTGTATAAAATATAAACTATATTCACACTATACATGTTTCCTGTACATTGTGCATAATTACATTGTCTACTGATCTTGGTCTGATTGCATTAAAAAGTTGCCCTATGATATTTGCATTACACCATCTGCAGGCATGTTGCATATTACTTATTGATAGGTTTTTCTCTATTTGAGCTTCACTACATAAGGAATCAACTGAGTGGCTTGCCCAGGGCCATGCAAGAAGTCTGTAGCAGAGCTGGGAACTGGGGCTACAGCTTCTGGGTTCCTGGCCAGCATCTTACTCACAAGACCATCCAGAGTGTGCTTGTAGGAAGCAGAGTAATACAGAAAAAATCTGATACTTAGGACACATATAAAAGAGGACTTTATGAGAAATGCTACATCTGCCTAGACCAAACAATGCCAGGAAAATATTAATATTTCTGTCCCTTAATAACCAAGGATCCCATACTGAGGTTGATGGGACCTGTAGCTCCCACTGAAATTAAGAGCAAAACTTCCACTGGCTTTAAAGAGACTAATGGTGGTCCTGGAGCCACTAAAGTCCTCAGTGACTGGAAATCTTCTCCCCACCATAGGCTTAAAATTGTACTTTCTTAAAACAAATGCATGAAATGCATTTCAATGCATGTCAATTCAGCATCTCTTCGGCAAACTACAGAGTAGAGAAAGTGCTGGCAGGTTCTACATCAGGGCCGGTCAAAAATGTGCCATTGAAACTGTTTTTTGCAGGGAAAACTTGAGGGGGCAGGGATTGGCTAAACACATTCTTTTTTGCCAGTATGCCTGTTTTCCAGAGATTTTTAAAAATGACTTTTTTGGTCAAAAAAATGGAATGCCTGAAAATAGAAGTGTACGTGCAAGCACACATCCTTGTGTAGAGTATATATACATAATATAATATAATATTTGAGGTTTTCTTTTTATCACTACGCAAATGTTTAGTTTTACATTTAGTTTAGCTAGAATCTGACCTCGTCTCCATTGACTCGTGTTTCTTCAACTGCTGCTAAATCTGTAGGAGGCTATACAGGGCACGTCTGCAGGAGACGCTACAGTGCCGTAGCTCACCAGTATGGTGACGTAGTGCCAACAGGTACCAACTGTGACGCCAACGCTACCGTACAGTAGGGTCGGAAATGACCCATGCACTGCCGGGACTGCGCAGTAATGGCAGTTACGCAAGTAACAACTGCACCATCAGAGGCATGTGTAGACGCACCCACTGTGTCTGAAAAGATACAGGTGCAATTGTGTTTCCCAGGGAATTCGGGGTAAATCCCTTATACATAGCACACACAACCCCTCTGCTGACCATTTGGAGATTACAAGTGATCAGCGGGGGTCAGATTCCAATTTTAGACAATGAAATTAAACATTTATGGTTTCCAAACTGCTTCAAATGGTGGCATATTCTACAACCAGTAGTACTGTGGGAGGAGGGAGGAAAATTCATGTAACTTGGGATCCAGTTTTGGAGTTATTTAGTTCTTCCTTGTGCCACGTGTGCATTGACTTCAGTGCAATGTGTACCTGTGACCTGAGGGAAATCCTATCATCTTGGCCAGGGCAAAGCTCTAAAATTCATGGAGTTTCCTACTGTGGAATAAGGGTGGTGCTGCTGTGTAGTAGGTTTGAGAGTGACCTGCCTGGGGGCCATTTCAAGCATTGCAGAGACTTTCTGGTTGAGTCATAAGGGGAAGGAGACAGAGGTGGGCTGTGCGCAGGAATGCAAGCCCCCGTGGGCTCTTCTAGGAGCGCTGATGGCAAAACAACTTCACTTGTGCCCTATCTAACACCCCTTTCCATGTGCAGATGGGGACTCTTTGCAAGATCATCCTGATAGAGCTGCTATTCTCTCATGCCATACATGACCATGGGGGTCAATGAGAGGGGTGTAGCCCAGAACACCCTTTCATGACATAGGATCTCCATCTTGGAGGGAGGGGTTTCATTGGGAGGGAGACTGCCACCATTTACCGACATCTCCTCTTTCTCCTCCTCCTCCTCCTCCCCTGTGTTTCTGTGAGGCCAGTATAAGCCTACAGGATAAATGCGTTAGCTGCTTAAGATCACCTGTTCCCTCTGAAATCCCCGGTAGTTTTGCCATGAGTTTCAGCGGGAGCGGCGTGGGGCTTTTAGCCACACGAGCGGTGTTCAGACTGCGATGGCTGGCAGCGTTACATAACCAAATAGCATCTCGGCAATCTCCTTTTTTTAATGAACAAGAAATGAAAGCGGTGAATTAGTGAGGAAGCCACTTGACGGTAAGCTCCTGTCACTCCCCAGACTAATCCAGATTACCTCTCTTGCTGGAAATATTCCAAAGCAGAGGGATGGGTGTTGCAGGGGGAAAAGGCCAGCACAAGTCAGGTGTTTTCCACAGAGCTTCGCCTCCAGTTCCCCTTTGTGGCCAGGGGGTGGGATTCTCCCCAGCACAGACGGCCAACACAAAGGCCGTGGCTCACTGAAATCCTATCTGGGGAGGTTATGTCTTGTTTAGCCTTTTGTTGGCTTTCCCATGGATGGAAGACCATGTTTTAATTACTGCAGTAATATCCAGTGGCTCCAACCAGAGGGCCTGGCTGACACTGATTACACAGCCCCTGCCCAAAGCCCGGAAAGGAGTCCCTCCTTTCTTCTTGCCCATGCCAGCCATTGCGTCTCCCCCAAATATTGCTCCTGATAAGGTCTTCATTTACAGTGCATCCGTTACCTGTATTGTTTAGTTCTGCTCATTCATTCTCATTCACTTTTGAGAAGCTGGCTATACATAGGGAGGTTTTAGTGAGTGACTGTGGTGGTCTCTCGCTCATAATTCAAATGGTAAAAGCTGGCCGGGATGGCCTAGATTTGAAGCTAGGATTGAGGAGGACCAGCCCTGGGTTTCTTCATGAACTTGTTGTAGCCCCAGTCATTTATTGCACCTCCTTTTGTCCTCATTGGCATCACCAGGGAGAGAGAGAGCAGCAACTTGCAGAATTTGGATGAATAGAAGCTACAAAATCCTAGCATGGCAAAAGGCAAAGACCTACATTAAAAATGTGCTGGGGAGTGATGGGGTGGGGACTGGGTGGTGTATAGGCCTAAAGCATAAGGTGAATTTTGCCCAATGGAAACCGGGGCCATATATTGAGGGGAACAGACATTGAAGGGAAGAATGAGATATTTAAAGCATAAATTAAATGTGTGCTGCATAGGCCATGCTGTCAGTCTCATTTTTGCAACACAGGAAAATTCACTGTTAGCCTTATTACTCAGGGCTAGCTAGAAAATGCAATTTCTGTCCCAAAGGAAATTCTTATATTTCACCATCCATTTTTTCGTCCAGGTTTTGGGATGCAAAGTTAAAATTTCTCTCTTTTTTTTTTCTGCAGAGCAAAATGGTTCTGCAAATTTTGATTTGGAAATGTCAACGTGAAATATTTTGAGCAAACTGAAACGGTTTGACATTTTGCAACAAAATATTGATTCAAACCAAGATGTTTCGCTTTGAATTGGCCTTTCCGCTCTAAAATGACATTCTCAGTTAAAGTGTCAATTTGGAACCCAGTGTTTCAGTCTGAGCTGACATTTAGAAACCAAACTCAGCTCAGAGCATCTCTTTGAAAAAAAAAAATCAAAAGTTTTCTTGACAGATTTTTTTTTTTCCTTGCTGGAAGTGCTGATTTTGATCAAACCCACATTTTCCAACACCAAAAAAAAAAAAAAAGCCTCTGTTTATTGGAAAACTTCCTACTGGCACTAGGACTTGGTAAAGTTATAAGGAGAAAGGCCAGTTGTAACAAGATATATATAGAATGTATTATATGGACTGTTTCTGAAAGGCAGAGTTGGACCCATATAAATATAGCCTGATATTCAACTGGAAATGACTGGCAAGGTTTGCCTACCTCCTCGGTTTCATTTCCTTGTGTTATTTCATGGGCTACTTCCACTAGACTGCTGTACGCTGGAAAAAAGTGGCAAGTGGAGGGAAGCACCGTCCTCTGGCACAGCTGACTGCAGTGCCGTGACCCATGCCTGGCTAGTTCTTTTCTGCATCCAAGTTCAGTTTCCTCCTCCATAGCCCTCACTTTCTTTTCCTTTTTGTTTTGCTTCCATTCTCGTTAAAGTTTGCGTTTGATGGTGTTTTTCTTTGCGTCCCTCACTGCCATCTTGATTTCTTTGGTCAGGGTCTCTTGCCAGTTTTGCCTGTAAAATAGAGAAAGCGGGGTGAATCCGAGCGGTCCTCATCAGGAAATGGTGCCCTGGTTCGTGACAGTTGATCTAACCAACTTCAGCAGCAACGGGAGCCGTCAGAAACAAAGCCATGAGCAAACACCAGAAAAGCGGGGAGGCTGGTACATCATTCACAGGAACTATTGTACTGAACAGCATCGCACAGAGCGTTCGATACCCAAGGATTCACTGAACTTCACAGACGTGAATTAGTTTTTGTAACCCAGATGTTGTCACAGTGGGCTCCTATTGCTCACGTTGAAACAATTCCCTCGTGTGTCCTAAGCCCATTACTGCTACTAGCTAAATGTGTCACTAGGCCAATACTGCTACCAGCTAGCTGAGATTCTCCCTTTGCTTAGCTACTAGAGGCCCATCCTTTTGGGGCAGGAGGATCCAATTTCATATATGCCTACCACCAGTAAGGGGCCACAGAGCCGAGCCTGGTGCCAGCCTCGTTGTCAATGGGTAGTCACAGATTTATTATGATAGTGTTATTTCCATAATAGTGGAAATAATAATGCCATAATATTATTATAGTGTTATTTCCATAATAACACTATAACAATAGTGGGGGGTTGAGGATAAAAAATAAGTGACTGGTTGAGGGCCAGGGTGCGAGCTTGGAAGAGAATGGGGAATTTTAGACTTCCTGTCTTATACTCGAACCACTGCATGTGCTGTCTGGCGTGAGGCACAATTGCATAGCACAGGAAACGGTGGTTCAAGCAGACTGAGCATGGCACACTTAGAGAAGGCTGCTAAGTGCTTTGCAATAACACGCAGCCCAGCACATCCGCAGGGTCCCTTCTCTCTCTGAAAAGGGGGAGAGGTGGGAGCACCGTGTCAGCCCAGGACAAGTGACTGAACAGGGGCTGAAGGCAAATCCCCAGGGAGCAGCTTACTGAAGCCAGAGCAATTCCAAATGCATAAACCCCCATAATTTAAGATTTAGGAGCCAGCGTGGGGATTTCTCTGAAAACTCATTCACCGAGCGTCGTAACAGGCAGCTAAAGCCACTCGTCGCCGGCACTCGCAAATCAGCTGCTGACTGACTTACAAACCTCAGCGACCGCAACAGAAACTAGGCCAAAGGGAATTATGATTTCTGGGGTTTTTTGGTGGTGTGATGAGTGTGGCTGGGTGGTGGATTTAAAAAAAAAAAGGTATAAAAAGATAGCATCCCCTTCTTGATGTGTGGCTGGGAGAAGTGGCATACTTAGAGGGTAAGAAAATACAGTAGGATAAGAGAGGAGAAAGGCAAATGGGGAGGGAGAGGGAAAAGATGGTGATGAAAGGGAAAGTGAATATAAGTATTTGGGTTCTGAAGTTTCTGGATTAATTCCCACAGCCAGAATCTTTTGATTGTCTCCCCACCAATTCCAAAGGGGTGATATTCCCCCCTATGCAGTGCCCAGTCCCTGTACTGGCCTTCTACCCATGGGTGACTTTCACCTCTGGAAATGGAGAGAAAACCCTCAATTGAATTTGCCTCCAAACACTAAAGTGAGCCCTGATAATAGACTGGACCAGAATCCCAGAGCTGAACACTGGCAGCATTTGGACTGACACCCTTGCTTTTCTAGCTTCAGTTCATCCTGACATGAAGCCACCTCTGCTCAGATCTGGGGTATTCTGGGCAAAAGGGAGACTTCGTAATCCCCAGTCACCCGCCTGAAATTGCACTGCAATCAGTGGCGCTAGAAAATCCTCATTCTCTGTCTGGCTGCATTATGCCGTGTCTTGCACTGCAATGTTGCAGCATTGCACAGCACTGTTGCAGAGCAGGCACAGCTGCATTTCACTCTCGGAAGACAACCAGGTGGCTGTATCAAGAGCTCATAGAGCACATTACCCTTAACTCAGAAGATTAAATTAATCAGAGTGGACCACTATATACAGACCAGTGGGGTAACATTTAGGAGGAACTGCTCTAGAATTAGGGGCTCCTATCCTTAGCCCCTCAATGAAAACCTAACATACGACAAAGCCCTCCTTTCTCAGAACTCTAGGATGAGTCCTAGCCTGACCGTTTATACATGCAAAGAAGCCAGTTGATCTGCACTGTGTAAAGCACATTTACATCCAGAGGTTTTTAGAACAGCAAAAGCAGGAGGATGGTATGCACAATGCTAAGATTGATGTTCTGGTTTCTCCTAGGTCCCTCAGGAGGAGGCTGTAGTACAGACACAGCATCTTTGAGTCATACACACCTTTGATTTCTCAAACTTTATTTCGGAGGAAATCCCAGCCGCAGTGAAGCCAGCAGCATGCTCCCATTGACCCAAATGGGGTCTGGATTTTGTGCCTGAAGTGTAATGGCCCAGTTCAGGGGTCAGCAACCTACAGCTTGCAGAAGAGGTTATATAGAGCCCACGTAGGTTTGATGTGGCACATGGAGGCGGGGGCATCTTCTCTACTCTGCGCTGTGCATTCCTGCTGATCCCCTTCTGCAGCCCAGAAGCTGCCTGCTGCCACTCCAGCCCTCCTTGCTGTGTGCCAAGGACTGCTTTCTTGCCATGCTACATCAGCCTCTACTTACCTTCACCACAAAATTTGCCAGTCCCCATCGCTGTTGACCACTGGAGTTGGTAGCACTCAGTGATCAGGGAGTGGGCAGTGAATGGGGGGCATGCGAGCAAAAGAACAAGCCTCAGCAAAGAGCAGGGAGGGCTGGGGCACTTTGGAGGGGATCAGTGGCCTGCGACAGTGGCTGAATTGCAAGCAGCAACTCACCAGTCATCAAAGGTTGCTGACCCTTGGCCTAGACTCAGGCCTGCAAGGACTAGGGGTTTATGACTTAGCTCTGTGGCTGGATCCAAGTGCATCCACCCCTCTGGGTTATGGATGGCAGAGGAATTGGGCTCACAGAACAGTCCCTAGTAGATGATGGCCATGATTGTGCAGGAAACAAAATCTCCTCAAGAGCCTTCCTTCAGGGAGATGCCATCAGGCACGAGGAATCAGAAAGTTGATTCACTGCTTCACCCGAGCTTGGGACAGAAGCCTTTGCCATTGCCTGCTGTGCAATCAAGGAGTTGTTTCCCCTCTTTAATCCTTCCTCCATTGCCTGAAAACTTTCACCAATGCAGTAGGCCAGGTCTGATTGGGTTTACAGCAACTTGCTAATCTCTGTGTGGATCGGCGTGTGCGCCCCATCACATGCCAGTCCCTTTAAGATTGAGCCTGGGGAACCAGAGTCAACAGCCAGCTTCCCTCAACCCAGGAAAAGAGATCAGCCTTCTAGTTTCTTTTCACAGTCCTTTGCTGTACTGCAGGGGGGTTGGGTTGACAGGACAAATGTCACCAGATGTGCTATGGATCTGTGGGTTTTCCATTTCATTCAAGCCATCTTGAAGGAGCACAATCCATGACCACTTTGAACGGGCTTCAGTCCATTTCTTTCTGTAAAAATACTGTTCCCATCTGCTTGCAGAGTGTCAGTCTGTAGAACCAATTCCTTAGAAAAGGCTAGGCCATATAGGAAAACACTTGTTGCACAGGTGGTCCTTTAGCATCTGCAAGACCTTCTCACATGCCTCTAAGGCTTTTAGGAAGGGCTGCCATCCTTGATCCAGTCTGGCATGTCTTTCTGTCATCTATTTCTCAACTTTCTGATTTTTGCACTTAGTTGGCTTTGTGGTTAGTCCAAATTCCTGCAGAGATTGGAGGATGGCCTCAACCTGCTCTAGATGTGACCACATCTAGATGAACAGTGGTTTGTGTGTGGTGGGGTCCAAGAGCCACTGGAAGGTTGTAGGTTGTCCAGCAGGCAAAAAGACAGTGTGGCAATATACTGAGCTTCATCTAGATGGGCCAGCAGCTCATTGGCCTAGGTCATAGGGCTTCCCTTGAATTTAGAAAAAGCATTTGCCTTTCTAAAGCCTGTAAAAGGACTCACATGGTACCGCCTTGGTCCAGTGAACTTTAATATTTTGTTTACAGAGTCTGAGTGAATGGCTTAACAAACCTGTCCATCTGAGGATGAGACACTGATGTCTAAATCCATGAATCTTTTGAGAAAGTCTCTTTTCACCCACCTTAATCAGAGCATCAGGTTACTCCCTTGGTAGACCAGTATCTCCCAGGATATTGTTCCCTGGCAAAGAGTTTTGGCAATTCCTTAATGATGATCTTTGCATCGAAGCACAAAGGTTCATCTCCAGGTCTCTGACAACATGATCAAGTAATACAAATATGCACTGGTACTCTCCTACCCTCTCTTCTAAAGGTGCAGCTGTATCTTTTTCTGTTCTTTCACAAGAGCTTCCCACCCAGGTTGAGGGGACAAATCCATCCTTTTTGACTCAAGGAGGTGGCAATTCAGGCATTAAGGCAGAGAAGATGGGACTTTCTGTAGAGAAAACCACGACTTCTTGGTGGACTGTGAGCCAGTAGAGTCAGCTGGAAAGTTGGGCAGGGGCTTCTCATGGCTGAGGTGACCCAGAGTTTTGACTGCACAAGCCATTTCTGGCAAGGCTGTGCAACAAGAAATTTTCTCCAGGCTACTTCTGTGTGCTCTTTTCCCTGACAATACAGTCATTCACATCAAGGAAATTCATTGGCCTGCCATGGCCAACTGTGTTGGCATTCATCACATCCAGTTGGTCTCATGCCTGCTCTAGTGTTTCATTCTCCCTCTGCTGTTCCCTGATGGGACAGGACCACTCAGTTATAACATCCGTGTTCTCCAGGGGAGGTGGCACTAGCTCCTGAGTGGGCCTGGGGAATTCCTGTTGCCAAAAAATCAACTCACCCCCACCTCCTTCTCATCAGGGTAAGTGGGAAGACAGATCTAGACACATAAAGTCTAGCTCTTTGAGGCCAAGAGCATCCTTTGTTGATGTCTCCAGACTTGTGTGGCACCCCTACATCTACCCAGCACGTCTGAAAAGCAATCTCAGTTGTAGCCCTTGGTAAACCCCAATTCCTGAGGCCATGGTTGTCCACCCCAAGCAGCTACAGGCAGATAT